GCCAATGGTATGAATGTATCTATATATATTGGTCAGGCTTCAGAATCGTCCAGTGGGCAGTGCACTCTACACTCCAAGTTACCTTTTTTTTTTCAAATTTACCGCAAATTTGATATTTTACCCATTGAGTGTTGATTAGTCACAATGAAACATTGTGACAGAAGTTGAGGTTACTAGTGTATTAAATAATCTAGGGCCTATTTAGGATTATATCTGAAAAATCCAAATCTGGCCAACGCCCACCCTAAACCTAAACCTGTTCTAATCCACCTGAAATGACTAACGTATGGAAGACTTCCAGCTGAAAATAACTTTTATAAAGTTAAGAAAAACTAATATTATTCAAAAACTTCTTCTAAAACACTTAATTGTTTTAGAAGAAGTTTTTGAATAATATTAGTTTTTCTTAACTTTCCTGGTACAGAAGACTCGATGTCTGTTAACACTAAAAGGATCAGGACTTAAGCCTTCCTTTCCCTTTTCGATTTGTACCACCAAAAAAGATTTGAAAGGGCATCCAACTAAGGAATGGGTCAAACTTTCACACATCAGTTTCATTCAAGGGTTAAAATTTCTTCACTGAAATAACCGTTATGTGTGTCATGCGGTACCTGGGTACCCCGCCAGCGGTTATGAAAAAAAAAACTAACAATTCCTCATGCACATAAGGGTTAACATGTGTACTAATATTTTTCCATGTGGTTCTTTAAACCATTTGTACAGTTTCTGTATTGATTGGTTATCATATACTATGTTTCAGAGTCTCTTTAAGTTCATATATGGAATAATCAGCACAGCACAGACATTTGTGTTCTATTTTCCAACTACCGACAAATTATGCCTTATAGAACATAATTATAATGCTTTTATTAGATAAGGGAATAAAAATTGCTTTGAAATAGCCACTAAGGTCAAAAACTTTTACACTGCTACGGCCAACAAAACAGCAACTAAAGGGTGATACCGTCAAAATTTGGTCAATATCAACTTGACGTATTTCTTTCAATTTTGCATTTAAAAAACCTGAACACCCCTCATTTTGAAGGTGTGTGTGTGTAGAATGTTGCTCCTATTTTGATTTTGGAATTCACTCTTCAGTTGTCAAAATGCCGTCCAAGCAAGAAGAGCAGCGTATCAAAATTTTGCTCGCGCATCGCGAAAATCCGAGCTACTCGCACGCAAAGTTGGCAAAATCGCTAAAAGTTGCCAAATCAACCGTTACAAATGTAATTAAAGTGTTTGGGGAACGTTTGTCGACAGCCAGGAAGTCTGGATCGGGGAGAAATCGAAAACCGGAAGCCGCTGAGACGACAAAGAGAGTTGCCGGTAGTTTCAAGCGAAACCCTAACCTCTCTCTCCGAGATGCCGCAAATAAGCTGGGTGTATCGTCTACAACCGTGCATCGAGCCAAAAAACGAGCCGGACTATCGACTTACAAGAAGGTAGTGACTCCAAATCGCGATGATAAACAAAATACGACGGCCAAAGCGCGATCCCGGAGGCTGTACACGACGATGCTGACGAAGTTTGACTGCGTGGTAATGGACGACGAAACCTACGTCAAAGCCGACTACAAGCAGCTTCCGGGACAGGAGTTTTATACGGCAAAAGGAAGGGGAAAGGTAGCAGATGTTTTCAAGCACATGAAACTGTCAAAGTACGCAAAGAAATATCTGGTTTGGCAAGCCATCTGTACCTGTGGCTTGAAAAGCAGCATTTTCATAGCTTTCGGGACTGTCAACCAAGAAATTTACGTGAAAGAGTGTTTGAATAAACGTCTGCTGCCTTTCCTGAAGAAACACGGTTGTTCCGTACTGTTTTGGCCGGATTTGGCATCTTGCCATTACGGTAAAAAGGCCATGGAGTGGTACGCCGCCAACAACGTGCAGGTGGTTCCCAAGGACAAGAACCCTCCCAACACGCCAGAGCTCCGCCCAATTGAGAAATACTGGGCTATTGTCAAGCGGAACCTAAAGAAGACCAAAAAACTGCTAAGGGCGAGCAGCAGTTCAAGGCAAACTGGCTTTCTGCGGCGAAGAAGGTGGACAAGGTGGCTGTACAAAATCTGATGACAGGGGTCAAGCGTAAGGCCCGGCAATTCGGATTTGGAAAATCGGAAGCCTAACTGAATATTTTTCCTGAATTTTATACTAATTGAACTTGAAAAAGAAATCGATTTCACCGATTTACACGCGTTTTCCCTTGACCAAATTTTGACCGTATCACCCTTTAGTGCCAATTTAGGTACACAACCATTATTCCATTATTGTCACCGAAGCTTAGAAGTTTCCAAAATTCTTCAGATTATCTCATTACATGCCAGATTTAAATCATAATGAGCGTAATACCAAATCTTTGGACTAACTAGTGCCAAAACTGGCTCACTTACTGCTGGAAATTAATAAATAAAATAAATTGTGCACACGACATCAAGATAAACAGAACAAAATATACTTAGTTACTTTGCATGACAACAAGGGCGCTTTGTATAGAAACGTCGGCAAGATAAAGAAAGACTCACTCGCAAACAACGTACGCACATACACCGGTCCCCTGTGGGTTGTGCAAAATTCATGAACTAAGCCATGAGGACGATCTGAGTGTCATACGGTAGTGTAAACTACGAAATGTGGATGTTATGCATTTGCAAATATCAGTATCATCCTTCGCATTTACCGCAAATGTAATAATTTTGATTGATTAAGAGGTACGTATTTGTCCCAGCAGGCCTGGGTTCAATACCAGTCGGCGCCGCACGCCTTTTTTCGGAAGGGAAGTAAAGCCATTGGTCCCGGTTCATGAGTTGATGGGTCGATAGGTAGGATCAAGGTGTGGGAGCTGCCTCCCTGGCGTCGGTAGCATTGGTGCTCAGCACGAAAAACAAGATCGACGGAAAACAAATCAAAGGAAAAAAAGGTACGTAGGGTTTTTGATCTAATTTTCGTCCTACTAAGCACAACCCGCGCTTTACCTCTCTTTTCTGAACGAGTTTAAATAAAAAAAAATGGAATATTTCTGTCAAAGATGACTTGCAAATTTATTCACCTTTCCATACTTGGATTTGATAAGGAGTCACACATTGTTGAGATATTGTCTAAAATCTAACACTGCTTCTTGATTCTAAATTCGTTCTTCGAGTTTCAATTCCGTCCTAACGCATTGAAACGCCATTAGATTTTCGTCGTACGGATAAACGTAGAAAAAGGGGATTCGCTAGGAGCGCTTCTTTTGTTTTGAGAACAATGAGCGTAAATATTCATACAATGCGCTCTAACATGATTTATGTTGTAGCTAATGAACTAACGCATCGGAACAAACCTATTATTGATTTGTGCACGGTGAAATAATTGATATTATTGATCTTTTCTGATCGATAGAACGGAAATGGGCGATTACGACGAAGTAGCGCTCTACCCTATTTGGAGAAATAACAAGATGTCACAAAAACCAAGCCGGTTACAACTAGGGACAAGCCAGCTTTGTTCAGAGTAAATATGTTTGCATATATTATTAGAGTTACTCAATATTAATCAAAGTTGATCTTGAAAGTAGTCTAAAAATAATCGCCAGGATCTTTAAAGATTTCAGTGGAAAATAGCAACAAGTTGTGATCTGTCAGCGATAAACTATCGGGTTCTTGATAAAGATACAAATTATAAACTTTATTACTATTCAACAAACAATTTTAGCTGCAGAATCTGCTTATAAAGGCAAAAATCAGCTGCACAAACCCATTTTTCTCCGTTCAAGCCGTTCTGCAACTAAACTTAATAATTGAGTGAACCATGACTCAATACCCAGTAGCAATCCAGCTGTAGTCAAAGTTAATATATTTGCTTCGAGTAAATTTGAGTAACTCATGATTTCTCAACAATGATCAAAGCAGTCTGGTATAAGTAGTTGTTATTCGTTTGTAACACACTTTAAGCATGACCACAAAAATCAGTTGGCTGAGTTGCTGCTTGTATTGAGCATTGAGCAGCACGAGTTCATCTGAGTTACTAAAAATTTACTCAAAAATCAAAACCTGTCTTACCCCTAGGGTCACAAAGTTACCAGAATGTAGACAGTTCTTCCCCATCAGGTTTTCAACAGTCAACTCGTTTTGTCCAGCAACCTTCACTAACAAAATAAAGATAGAAATTGGAACTGTATCAAGCTACGCCTCCCGAAACGAATAAAAAAAAACATATAAATTACCAGCCAATCGTAAATGATCATGTCCGATGAGATGGAAGAAAGTTAATTACTATTATCATTCCCCCCGCCGGCAAAAAAAAAATCACCGAAATCGGAAAATGGCATACTATTTCCTCGGAATCAATTTATCCTAAACGTCCATCTCGAACCAAATTACCATTCATTAAATGCCACTGAATGAGCTTCGCTGCTGAATGCTTGAAGCCGGCCGGGCTCAATCACCAGAAAGAGATCACAAAGCCCAGATCGGAATTCGGCAAGAAAAAGGTGCTAAAATATAGGCCAGAGATGCATCTCTTTTTTTTTCTGGCAAGATCTTCTTACCAAAGCAATGGCAGCCCTCGCATTTCCGGCCGATATGTTGTGTGTACCCGCGCTCTCTCATCTCTAGGTCAGCAATATCCGCATTACCAGGTAACACAAATAGATCTGTGAGTGCGAACCGCGAGATACCGGTTTACATTTGCTTTTTCGGCTATTTTCAGAGGTGGGTTCTTCTTCTATCTGGCTTTGACGCTCTTAATCGAGCTTTCGCCTGCTCTCAACTTAGTGTTCCTTGTAGCACTTCCACAGTTATAAATTGAGTGCTTCATATGCCAAACCAATGCATATGAATTTGTATGTTGTGTGGTAAGTTGAGAAAATTACCAATCTGAAAGACTTGGTAATACTTAATCTTTACTGACAAGGCTATCTGAGGCCACTCTATAGATGGGTCAAATTATGCAATTAAATAGTCTGTATTTGCACCATTCCCAAATATACTGCCCTGGTTGCTGGAAAATTTCTTATCTACTTACGACAACTGCAGGCACTGGCTGGCGTATCGTGCGCTGGTGCTCTATTAGGACCCCTGCCGAAGACCGCCTTTACGTTATCCATGATACTGCGTTCGTCGGAGTTTTTGTTTGTTGAGGCCATCATTTGATATTTACCGTGGGCCGCCAGCTTGGCCTCTGCGGCCAAAATCGTGGCCATCAAGAACACTGCCAGCGGGAAAAAGCTCCCACCACTAACAGCCAAGCACTTCATTGTTGCTCTTGTTTTGATGAACTCTTCACTTTTAAACCAATTCCAACTCTCGTTTCCGCTGTTGCTTCTGCAGATTTAACAGTTTTCCTGCTACCTCGAAATAATTGACTTAGCACTGCGCCACGGAAACACTAAAGTTGCACATTTTTTTCCTAGCCCAAATTCTTCTCATGCAAAATACCGCAGAACTCGTATCTAATCGCTTGATATGTCACTTCTTCTTTGTTGCTTTCTTCCCAAAATTTGATTTTTTTTAACACACTTTTATCACGATCGCTCTCTTCAATTCCAACACAATTCCGCGGATCTTCACAGCACAGCTGGGACTTCTGCCAAGTTACGTCTGCACCGGTCGACGATCAACGATCAAACTGCTCAATGCCACACGGCTCCCGATCGTCGAAGGCTTCCCCCAATCAGGTTTCCCACCTTGAGACCTTGCACTGCCTACCTTCCAAGAGCAACTTTTTCTCACGGATTCTCTTTCTTCTCCCACCTTTTCGATATTTTTTTTTATTTCGCGCTCAAGTTCAACTTTCTTCACCATTGTCTCTCCGTGTGCGGCGGATGATCATCATCATCATCATCATCTGGTGTTGTATTGCATTGTATGGGTGGTGAATGGTCTTCAGTGCATGCGGGCGATCATCATCGTCATTCGCCTGAGATACCAGGTGAGGCAGTGATGATGGGCACGGTTGGTTTGGAAGGTTTGTAAACAAAGTCCCCCGCAACATCGAACCGGGAGCTAACTGACGACACGCTGAGGTTTCTCTCTTTAGTTTTTCGTTGTCGTTTCATTCATTTGTTCTTTACGATCATGTGTGTCTGGGAGTGGAGGCACCTTCGACCTGAGAGCTTGATCAATCAAGTGATTTCTACGGATTTCTACGATTTGATTAAGAGAGTACGTAAAAACTTAAAGATTGTAAAATTGATGCATCTTATGATTAGTTGCCTCATCGTGAGATAAAGATCAGTGGGGATACGTATGCCCCAGGATGAGTATCGATGGAATAGAGGACTGATACGTTGGGCGAACAGAATCACATTCTGAATATTACTGGTGATGTAAATATGCAATTTTTTTAATAGTTCCCCTAATTTTCCAAAAGTTCATTGAATTGACATGAAAAAGAAAAATTACGGGAACCTCCGGCAATTTACAGGAAGCTTTCGAAACGGCCTTGCAGCTTATGGAATTTCCCTGTAAATCTCAAACTATCGCAGTAAGCCGCGCTGACGTGTTTTTATTTTGCTGCATATTTTTCGCCAGCGAATGAATTTAAATTGTTTGCTTTAAATTTGTTAATTTGTGTGCTGAAATTTTGCTTCAAGTGTTCATAAAGATACCATTTAGTGATATATCGTACTTTGCCTGTGTTTGCACTTGAGTGACTAGGTTGACTTTGAATTTAACCTCCAAAATATACGACGCAGCTTCGGTTCTATTGTTCGGTGTCGGTTTTCATTGCCACCTGGATACGCCCAAGACTGGATGGATGACAGTTGGTGGCCGCGAACTATTTCTGGGGAAAGCAATAGACGCGAACCTCCTCCCAGATGACCATGGCAATGCAAGACAATTTGTGTTCGCTGAAGGAAGTATTACGACAAAAGTGCATCACGAAATGAGATGCAAAGCTTAGAGAAAATCAAAATTACGGAACGCATGGATTGAAGGAACAAATTAACATGGTAAGACCAGTCCAAATACATTTTAAAATTAAAAAAAAAACTGAATACGTGCCAGGTTTAAAAAGAATATTTTCGAACCTGGAAGCGAGTATGTAATACCAATATCCATTTGATAAGGGTGATGCATACATACGGGGCTTATTGTAAGTGTAAGTAACCTCGGAATGAGCGTGACTCTCCAGACATTCTGAAATGGGTTGCTGGATCTGCAATAAAGGTATCACTTTCTAACTCCCGGAATAAAGCTGTCTACAAAGACCATAAATGCGACATTGTTGAGAGAATTCTTCCATAATAACACTGCCTCCTAGAGGCACTGCCTCCTAGAGGGAATACACACATACACACACACACACACACACACACACACACACACACACACACACACACACACACACACACACACACACACACACACACACACACACACACACACACACACATACACACACACACACACACACACACACACACACACACACACACACACACACACACACACACACACACACACACACACACACACACACACACACACACACACACACACACACGCACGCACACGCACACACACACACACACACACACACACACCACACACACACACACACACACACACCACACACACACACACACACACACACGCACACGCACACACACACACACACACACACACACCTCAAACTTCCCTGAAATTCTCAGGATTTATCAGAAGTTTTCCTTCCTTCATTATTGAGATCTTTGGAACATTACTGAAATTCTCGAAATATTCAATAATTTCTCGGAGCTTCTTGAAAACTACTACAATTGTTTGATTGCACTGCTCTGAACATTTCGGAACAACCCTGAAAATAATGGAACTGTCTTAAAATTCCTAAACTTCTCTGAAGCTCTTTTAACTACCCTGAAGATCGCGGATCTCAAAGTAAATTAAAGTGCTCGAAATTCTCCTGAAGTTTTTGATATTGCCATGAACTTTCCTGAAATGTTTTGCACTTCTGTAAGTTCTTAAAATTTGTCTGAAGTTTTTAACGCTTCACATGAGTTCTCTGAACTTTCCTGAACTTCCCGAAACTACTAGAACTTCCTGAAATTTTTCCGGAAGTTCATGAAACTGCCCTGAATGTAAACCTTTACAGATATTTTAACTTTCCTGAATTGATTGGAAAATTCTGGGTTCCTCTGAAGTTTTCTGGGCTTCCCTGCAATATTTTGGATATCGTTGAAGTTTTTAGAACATCTAAAAAGTTAACCATAAGCTGATGTCTTGAAGTTCTCGAAGCTTTCCTAGAGTGTTCAAACGTATATTGGAACATCGGAAGTATCTGATATTTCCTTTCATTCCTAGAAATTTTTTTAAAGTTCTTGCTACTCTTTTGATCATGTTCCTGAAATGGTCCTAATTAGTATCAACCCTAAAGTTTTCTTAGCTTCAAGGCGGCACTTCCGTGAATTTTTTGGAACTTCTGTGATGTTTACTGAGTTTTCGGCTTTGCAGTCTTATGATCCAAAATTACCAGCACCGAAACGTAGGCTTACTTACCTTACCAATCAGGTTAAGGCCTTGTTATCATCTACTGTCCGAAGAAGTCGTCTACTCGATCCATGGCCACACGTCGCTAGTCTCGTAGTCTGCGAAGGGTTCGCAGGTCGCCTTCTACTTGGTCGATCCACCTTGCCCGCTGCATGCCTCTTCTTCGTGTTCCTGTTGGGTCGTTTTCGAGAACCATTTTAATTGGTCCATCGCCTGGCATTCTTACGACGTGCCCAGCCCCCCGTAGTCGTCCATTTTTTTTTAATGTGGACGATGGATGGTTCTCCCAGCAGCGGGGGCAATTCGGGGTTCATTCGCCTCCACCACGTTCCGCCATCCATCTGCACTCCACCGTAGATGGTACGCAACACCTTCCGTTCGAAAACACCAAAGTAAACACAATTCCTTGCCATAATGCGTCTTTGAATTTCTCTGCTGGTATCATTTTTGGCGGTCACCAGTGAGCCCAAATACACGAACTCGTCAACACCGTCAATCTAAACTCGGGGTGGAAGGCTAACATTGTCTTCACTAGAACTTATGTATTTCGTCTTCGATGCGTTGATGGCAAGTCCAATCCGCCTCCCAGCTTTTCTGATCACACCTTCTAACGCGATGTTAAATAGCAGTCATGAAAATCAATCACCTTGCCGTAGCCCACTTCAAGATTCGAAGGAAGTCGAGAGTGTCCCCGATACTCGAACAATGCACATCACTCGATTCATCGTCGCCTTGACCAATCGCGTCAGTTTATCCGGAAATCCGTACTTGTGCATAATTTGCTGATCTCGATCGATTGTGTCGTATGCGGATTTTAAATCGATGAAGAAATGATGTGTTGGCACGTTGTTTTCGCGACATTTCTGTCGAACCTGCCTGATCGCGCGGGTATCCATGAATCCCGCCTTTTTTTACTTTATTTAACGTCGGTCTCTGTTCCGCAATCTAGTGCCAATCACCGACGGACATCGATTGCCATCCATTGACGGCAACCGAATGTGCAGGAAGGCAGCTTCAACACCTGAGTTGGATATCGCACCCATTCAACACACATGGGCCGGGACCAACGGCTTTACTTCTCTTCCGAAGGAAGACGTGACCAGAGATTTTTATGCCTCAGAAAAATTCCACCGACCTCGGCTGGGATTGAACCCAGACCCATTGGGGTGTTAGAAAGCAGTCACGCTTACCGCTACACCACCGGCGCCGGCTCATGAATCCCGCCTGATATTGTCCCACGAATTCTCCACTGGTGCTCATCAAGAAGCAGTTCGGTGTCAATGCTTCATGAGCTTCTGAATCGATTGGCATGCGTGATAATGTTTGCACCATCGTACAAATAAGGTTCCCGTTTCACCTGTGCATACAATGCCTTGCTTTTCTTTGCATGCACGTAACCAATAGCTCATATCGTAGTAGGCTGTGTATAAAAGAAAATGATTCACTTAGTTTGACAGTTGCACCATGACGAATTGGCAGCGAATTCGTGATTTGTTCCACGCGCAAATGTCGCAAAAAGACATTTCAATCGCCATGGGAGTGTCCCGGTGGACCGTCAAAAGGGTTTTACACCGAGAAACGTAAGGACAACTATCCGCGAAGGTGGACACAGGTCGTCCGAGGTTGTAAGGGGGATCCTGCTAGGGTTCTCAAAAAATTCCGGCTTATGCGCCAGACGAAGAAGTCGTCTGCCGAGAATTGCAGATATGTGTGCCCAGCTAGCAGTTTTCTCAACCCAGCAGATTCCACCCACTAGAGTAACCCAACGACCAAAAACCATCAACGTCCCAAGTCCAATAGTCCAATCGTTCTTTTTCCCCCCAATTTTTTTTTATTCTAATTTTATCTTCCAATTGTTTTTAATTGATTGAGTAAATTTTAAAATACGGTGCATGTGAAACAGGTTTATTAAAATCAAGTTCAGTAAAGTCAAATTCGATTTAACGAAAAAACCTGGTTTTGAAAGGTTCTAAAAATCCATGTATGGTTTGCTCGTTTTAATTTTTGTTGTTGT